TAACTAACTTAGTTTAGTTTAGGTTAGGTTAGGTTAGTTACTATATAATTAACTTACTAACTAACTATACTATATAATATACTACTCTACTATATATATATATATATATATATATATATATATATATATATATATTAGGATGAGCATGCCTTTTCTAATTAAAAATTTGACATTAAATTATTATGCTCATGTTTGCTGTTATTTTATTGCAGTGAATTTTACACTGTCATTCCCCATGATTTTGGCTTTAAAAAAATGCGTAAGTAGTACTATTTTGCTTGTTCAATAAAGTGTAAATGTAGTTTTATTTGCTTTCTCATCCTGAATTTTGATGCCAATTTTCTAAATTCTATCTACGAACTTTAGTGACTAGTTCCAGCAAGTTGCATTTAACGCATACTTTCTTTGATTTTCGCTGCTTGGTCCAATATTATTGTGGCCTCTAATAATTTTTGTGTGCTTCCAAACTGTGGCAGGCGAATTTGTCATAGATACCCCACAAATATTGAAGCGTAAACTGGAAATGGTATTCTTTCCTCTGAAGCTTTTTTTTTTTTTCTATTAATGTTGCTTTTTGAACTGAACGGTAAGTTTTAGGATCCAACCTTTGAGAGTTTAAAGTCTAATGGCATATAAGTATAAACTGCCATGTTTCAAGGGAGCATAATTTAGCTTCCAAACTGTTAGCTACAGAAATGGCATATAATATTTATTTTTGGAAAGCATTTATCATAGTTGCCAAAACCCCATTAATTGTTTACATATGCATTTCTTGGAATGATACCTGCCGTGTAGGAATTAGAGTGTAATGTCTTTACAATCTAGTGTTCCCTCAATCCATGTGCAGAAGCATGACCAACAGACACACTTAAGCCTGGTTTGACAATCAAGAGATTCAATTTATTTGAGAAAAAAGTCATGAAAGTGATGTTTGGAAATGTGTTAATTAGTCACCAATTTTTAATGCTAAATTGGGCTTGCAACTTGTTGACCTATCAGTAGACAGCAGAGATATGAGTCCAGGTTTTAGCTCCATTTATATTCAAAAGCATCCACATTTTGCAAGTTTGCCTTTATAATTGGCATCCTGTGTCACTTCTCCCCTCCTCTGCCTGGTCCATTCTTTGGAATTCGACCCTTATGTCACCTTGTTTTTCATTCAATAGGTGGGATGGGATTTTGGACCTTTCGTGAAAAAAAAACTTTGAAACTCGTGTTTCGTATTTTGTCCACGTTTAACATTAGCTAATGGCATATGTGTTGCACAATGTCTAGTGGAGAAATTTGACATAAACTAATCT